GTTTTTCTGCTGCAGGGACAGGACGACTGGTTGGAATTGAGGGAAAGATGAATGCGGCCAAGTACAGGGATATCCTGGACGAAAACCTTCTCCAGAGTGCTCAGGACCTCAGACTGGGCCGAAGGTTTACCTTCCAACACGACAATGACCCTAAGCACACAGCTAAAATAATGAAGGAGTGGCTTCACAACAACTCTGTGACTGTTCTTGAATGGCCCAGCCAGAGCCCTGACTTAAACCCAATTGAGCATCTCTGGAGAGACCTAAAAATGGCTGTCCACCAACGTTTACCATCCAACCTGACAGAACTGGAGAGGATCTTCAAGGAGGAATGGCAGAGGATCCCCAAATCCAGGTGTGAAAAACTTGTTGCATCTTTCCCAAAAAGACTCATGGCTGTATTAGATCAAAAGGGTGCTTCTACTAAATACTGAGCAAAGGGTCTGAATACTTAGGACCATGTGATTATTTCAGTTTTTCTTTTTTAATAAATCTGCAAAAATTTCAACAATTCTGTGTTTTTCTGTCAATATGGGGTGCTGTGTGTACATTAATGAGGGAAAAAAATTTAACTTAAATGATTTTAGCAAATGGCTGCAATATAACAGAGTGAAAAATTTAAGGGGGTCTGAATACTTTCCGTACCCACTGTATATTTCTAACTCTAATTATTTCTGTACTTTTACATTTATTTATTTGTATTTCTGTTTATATATATATATATTCTTAGATTATTTCCAGAATTATTTTCACATTACTGTGGAACTTCTAAGAACTCTGGTAGAGATCACATGAACTAGGACGGAAAGCAACAAGATAATCTACTCTATCTGACAAACAAACACACCACAAGGGAATACAAAGCAATTATACTCAAGTACATGATTTCTAAATTCCTTCTGCTTTAAGAAGCTCAAAAAGGAAAACAAAAAAATGCCTTGATTAAAGGCCTTAAGGTCTTAAAATGATATATTCCATTTAATGAAATATCCACAATTTATCTCCTTTCAGAAAGAAGTCTTGCTGTATTAGTATAAGAATTTATATCCATGTTATGTATTTGAAAAAGAATGCCCTTTGGTATATACATACATTATAATATTTAAGTTGAATAGAAAGAGTACATCAACGTGTGTGGAGCAAAGAGTATTTAAAAGGAAATTAGAGATACTGTATTTATAGATAGCCTCTTTTCCCTTCCCGCATACCTTGAAGCTGAATGAAGATACGCAGTAAAGATTGTGTGGAGGTCACAGCTTTGCAAAAGTTGTCATCATTATTGATGGGCAGCAGCTCTCCTTGGACATCCGCATATTCGATAAGGACATCCATTTGCCATAAGTGATGTAAACGCACAATGAGCCTGTGGAAGTCTTTAAACCTGCCAGGCTCACAGCGGTCCAGGGAAAACCTCCTGAATTCTGCTCCATACTGTAAAAAGAAGTGAAATTGTATGAAAATAATGTAGGCTATATTTGAAAACACAATATCTCAGTCACACTTTTATGCTCTACTGGACAAGAAGCAGTGAATGAGCTGGGGCTGCATTCCATCAGCTGAAACAATGGGCATATTTTAGAAGTGAGCCGTTTCTGGATATTGTGTAGGTTTTGATTGTTTAAGTTATTGTTTACAAAGGTATTTCCTTTCAGTCTAATAATACTTAAATAAGAGCGCCAAGATAACCACTGAGACACATGTAAGACACATTACAAGAATTCTGTGAATGAATTTCAAATCTGGATGAAGAATGTGTAATTCCAAAAAGATTTAATAAAGCCTCATGAAGGAAATGCATACCGCCAGAAACAAAGATATTGTATGGTAATATAATAAATGAAAGATACATGCTACAGATCAGTAGCCTAGTCAGAATAAAAGTACGTCAACTTACTTTACTTTTCACCTCGAGGACCGAACAGCAACGCAGAGACTGAGACTTTCTAAGTGCCCGGTTCATGTTGTCCGATGAGCGGTCAACGAGCCACTAACCGCCAACCACTCGGGTTTTGTTTGGCTCAGCATGACAAAATAGCGTTGCGTGTTCGCATCACTGATAACAGGAGGAATGGCTTGTCAAACGACGGGACAACACGGAAACTACTCTTATTAGACTTCTGTAGGCTATTTAGTATCGGCAGATCACTTAGTTAAACATGCAATAATTTATTTGTGAGCCAGCTGACTACAAAATTAGTGAAGAATGAATAGATAAACAAAATATACTGTATATATATGTATATTTATATCTAGGCCTATCTATATCTATCTATCTATATATGTGTGTGTGTGTATACACATACACACTGTATAAATAGAGGGACAGAGATAGAGGATAAAATAAGAATGTATATTATCTTATTTTATCTTAGGATATCATGCAGTCTTCGTTTAGTGCTCCTGCCTGCTTATTTTTCTCTCTTTATATGTATGTAAATACATAACTACATCAAAGTAACAAACAAAATATAATTTACCTAAAATCCACATAATAGCATGTGTGCAGTATAAAGTATGAAAAGACACACATACATAACTGTACTGTCACATTTATTTTTGAGTAATTCTTTCTTAGCATCATAATCTTTTTTAATGGTCAGAAATGTGAGAGATTTTGTAGGACAGAAAAAAATATATATATTCATACGGAGTTGTTCAATTTAACACATCCTTTAATATTCTTTAGGCTATTGAATTACCATACATAAAACATTTAAAAGATGACACAAAACAGTAACAACAACAACAAAAAAAAGATTACTTTGCTGGTTAAAAACAAAAGAGGAACAGATGGCTGTGTTCTGGCTCTATGCCTTGACTTCATCAGGAAGCTGGCCTCCAGTTACAGCGGCCAAGGCATTGGTCACCATCCTCTCCACCATGATCTGTGAGGTCTCCACGGTGTGGGTTCCTACATGAGGCAGGACGATGACATTTGGCAAGGCCAGCAGGGGATGATCCCTGTATATAAGCAAGAAGCATATCATTTATACAACAACTGTAACAAAAAAACAAACATTTAGGTTTGCAATTTTACTATCCTCCTTATAGAGATTTAGGCAAGTTTGCTAAACAAAAATGTGCCAAGCAAAACAAACCTGGGAAGTGGTTCAGGATACGTGACATCTAAAGCAGCAGCTCTTATCATTTTCTTCTTGAGAGCATCCACTAAAGCATCTTGGTCCACTACCAAGCCTATGACAAGGAAAGTTGTTCTCAAACAGGGCTGCTTCTGTTTAATTAGATAGCTTTTTTCCAGCTTATTACATTACCTCTGCTAATGTTGATAAAGGTGCTGTTGGGTTTCATCATGGCAAACTCTTTGGCACCAATCAGTTTGTGCGTCTGAGGGGACAGATTGACCACCACCATGACGAAGTCTGACCTCTGTAACAGCATCTTCATGTTTGCACAATATGTGGCCCCAACTGCGCTCTCTTCACTCTCAGGCCTGAACATATAAAATGCTGTGAAATTAAATTAAAGTATTACATTTAGCCAATCTAATGTTAAAAAGTCCTGACAACAACCCATAAGGCCTTGTATAATTAAATATTATCCCAGTCACAGACTAAATATGTAACCTAGCTGAAAGGCACCATTGTAATTTTACACTTTATTTTAAAAGGAATAATTGCAATATTGAAAATATATGTTCATACACTACCTTTCAAAAGTTTGGGGCTGGTAAGGTGTTTTTAACAGGGTTGCAAAGGGGTGGAACATTTCCAGAAACTTTCCAAAAATC